AAAAAGAAGAAACAAGAAAAAAAAAACAACTGGCTAGAATACTGCAAATATGTACGACACGATGATAGGTACACACGCATCGTGAGATTTCGAATGTGACATTTTTCGAACATCCGATCGAATTTAACGCAATTTGAGAAACACTTTTTTCTTTTCTTTTCAAATCTCGCGGTGCGCCGTTTTCGCGCGCGATTCAAATTGCGCGCCACGCGGCCTCCCCCTCTCTCTCTCTGTCTGTCTGTCTCTCACTAATTCGAAGTCTCTCGGGAATGAACGAGAAAATAGAATCTGTTGCATTGTTTCGTAGTTTCGAACGAATAAGAAACGTGTAAGTTAGGTTATAACGCATGATTTTGTTTCACAGACGAACGCACCGTCGTTGACGACGACGGAACGTGCGCCTGGTGTTACGATCTCGTTGAAAGTGAACTACAGAACCTCGTAGTCGCACAAGGGATAATACAGCGACGACGAATTATCGAGGATCTCCTCGTATCTCAATTTCTCTCGTGTTCTTTCTCTTGTCACCTCGTATCGAACGTTTCACACACGATCCAACCGAGGCTTGAATTCTTCATCGCGGAGGGGAACTTTTGCGAGTGTAAATTAACATCGTGAAAACTCTTCGCGAGAAAAATAAAGACGACGAACGCGAGTATTTTGTTTCTCCCTTAAAGAAATACGAGCAATTTTCTTTTCGAAGCGCGAAACTGAATTAACCGACCGACAGATGCGAAACCGCATCTTCACTTACCGATCGAGTACTACTTATCGATCGAAAACTAAACTAGATCTTCGAAGAGGAATCTTTTCGTCCTGAAATTTCCGTATTCCATTCGTTGAAAACGTTTCTCTCGCTTAAATCAACTGGAACTGTCACTCGAACGTTTTCAAACTTCGCGCCGAAATTCCCTCTCTAAGTACATGACCATCGGTAGTCGTGACAACTGCAAACTCTCGTTAGAAATGAGAAAAAAGCTTACGAAAAATATATCGCGTGTTTAAAAACTAATGAAAGAAAAAGGAAAGCTCATTCGTTAAGAATAATGTAAAAATGGAAGAAGAGTCAAGGGGGAAGAGCGAAACAACGATTTCGCGAATTGCAGTGGCGCCACTATCGATCTCGAAACAAATCGTTCGCTTAATTTTCAACGTACAAAGAGTAACGCACATATATATATATATATATCACTCGCAGCGACAATTTCGAAAATTGTGAACCGGCACGAGGGACTTTTCACAACTTTCGAACATCTACGCGATTAAATAAGAGAAAACAAATTATCTTACGTCGTTCTCTTTTCCCCGAAGATCCTCGTAATTCGTGGTTTTTCCCCTTTTTTTATCCCTTCTCGACACCGAGGAACGCCAGCTAGCCTCGTGACATAGTAAACAATGCGTTATGAGAAAAATGGTTACGCGTTACGCAACAGAGATATGCTTCATTTTAAGTATTGTAACGCTTTCTTACGGCCTTTAATAACCAAGGCGCAGATAAATAATAATAATAATAGATAAAAATAAACA